ATTTTCTCTTATTATATTTTCGTATAGCATGAATATATAATTCAACAAAAAGTAATAAAAAAAGGAAGTACTTACTGACCTTGTTCGAATAAACTGAATGTCTAATTACTTTTACTAAAATTAATTAAAAGAAAATAGCACTTTTTCTATTAATCTTTTACTAATGTGACAATTGCTACACTCTAGTGGCATTTGTAAAAATGAAATAACCAAAATTTAAGGATGGTTGCGCCCTCTATAGAATTTCCTCAAAATAAATGTGCATAAACAGTGGTTACTAAGGTAACTTAAAATGTCACTTCCAAATTTACCGGTCAATAAAAACTTTGATTTGACAGATGTGTTGTTAATTAACCAAGGGATTTTTGTTTTGATTTTTTTTAATTTTTTATTGCTAAAATGAGTATAATTAGTGAATACCGCGAAAAATTGTCGAACAAAAATCTTGATTTTGTTACAGACAACAGTAAAATCATTTCTCCTGACGATGTCCTGAAAATACCACGAGTTACCGAAGCTTACTTGTGTTCACCTGATGCAAACATTTATGAAATAGATTTCACAAGATTTAAAATAAGAGATCTCGAAAGTGGTGCTGTGCTTTTTGAAATTGCAAAGCCGCCTGTAGACCACACAGACGAAAATGTAGAAAACGAAGAAGTTATTGACCCGAATGCGGGTAGATTCGTAAGATACCAATTCACACCCCAGTTTTTGAAATTAAAAACTGTAGGAGCAACGTAAGATACCCCATTTTACGTGTTTTTTTATTGCACCTTAATGTTAATTAAAATGAATTTATTAGAGTGGAATTTACTGTTGGATGTAAGCCAGTTAATAAGTTCCGTATGATTGAGAAGCATTATTTTAGAGATAAACTACTCAAAACATTTGATTTTGAATTTGGCTTTTGCATTCCATACTCCAAGAACACTTGTGAACACATTTATGAATTTCCCACCTTATCACAGGAGTTAAGTACGAGCATTTTTCAAGTTTCGACCACAATTATTTATCTAAACTGTTCATTTTCATTTCAGTTGAAGAAATGATCGCTTCGCCGTTTGAAACACGCTCAGACAGCTTTTATTTTGTTGATGATCGCCTTGTTATGCATAATAAAGCTGATTATGCTTACAACGGAGGTGTTAATGTTTAGTACTTAAACCACAGGGTTACAATTGACTATTCACTGCACATTTTGCATTTAGTATATTTATAGAGGGAATATGGGCTTTAAATTTTAAGCCAAAGCACAAACTTTAAAAACAATACCAAACACTGGTTTGTTTTGAATCCGTAATGGCACCTATCATTTTTTTTTTGAGACAGAAGACATTTTGCTATTTGGACTAATTAAAAATATTTAAATTTTTTAGATAACTGCTATATCTCCTCAAAGCTTAAATTGATACAGTATTTGTGTTGCATTCCTATTGTATGTGATATATTGTTTATTTCTATTGTATATAATTTTATGTGTTACATAATGTATTTCGTAGTTATTTTGTATCAAGTGCAATGTTATTAAAAAATTTTTTTATTATGTTTCTAGTCTAAATGCTTACAAATATATGTAGGATATGCTTTATTTTACAGAACGTTAATTAGTTGTTTATATTTTTCTATTCTAGTCTTTTGTTTCCATATTTAAATTAAAGGAAACAGTAAATATATAGATTATATTTTAAGGTAAATTTTTATCTTATCTTTTAAGAATATTTTGGGCTATAGTTGAAAAGTAAATCAAAATATAATAAACGTTGTCTCAAAAGGACAGGCTAATATTTGGTAGCAAACGTTTTTATATTTATATACCATTATTACAGAATGTGTTATGGATTTTGCTTAAAAATAAAGAAAGTTTTGCAATTAAAGTCTATTAATGCAAACCCAACTGGAAATGTTATCATATTCGAGTTTATCAAACAGCCATAAGTATCATAATTCATGATTTCTAAGGCAATGTAACCTAGGGTATTTTTATTAACTTCCAAAAATGTTTTAAATTGCACTACACTTACCCAGCAGACGATAATTTAATCACTTTATAACAATTCGCTGTGCAAAACCCTTCAATTAATTTAATACTTAAATCCCATCCAATCAATTCCCAAAATTGCACCCCAAAAAAGGAAATAAAACTCTTCAGAAAAATGAAAAATATTTCCGTGTATTTCAATTATAATATTATCATCTCTTTCAAGCAGGTATCCAAAAATAAAACAGACAAAAATATACGAGAAAAAAGGAATAGTTATTAAACAACTAACCTGTGGTGGTCATATGGGGGACAGGGTAAATAAAGGGATAAGGGAAGAGGCGCGTAGTACGTATCCCAACAACTGTACAAAAACGCGCATCCACCCCCCAAGAAATTGCCTAACTTTTACAAAAAAAAAATATTTACACAAAA